GCTAGCTAGCTACTTAGAGAACTGGTTGTAGTGAGCAAGCTGCTTGGATTATTCTGTAAGCTCATCTGTTAAGACTAGGAACTTATTAGATTGTTCTGTATACTTAGAACTGTCAGAACAATCAGAATTGATAGAAATGCTAGAGTGATTGTATGGTTGTCTTCTTGAACAGACAGAACAAGAGACACAGAATGAGTAGAGTTGTGTGTAGAGGTTGATAGAAACAAACTAGGGAACAAACTATGAAACATGGATAGTAAAGCTGAGCTGGATTGCTTAAGAGGTTGTACAGAAACCCTTTTAGAAACAGGACTGAGTGTGTAGGATACAGGTTGTAAGAGGTTGTGGTTGACCAAATCTAATTTGGGTCCAGAATCTGATTCTTCTGTAATTGAGTTGGTACACTCTCAGTAGTACTACTACCTGTTAGCTGCTTAGCCTACTTAAGACACCTTGAGAAACCCCTCTCACAGTAGGCTCCAAAATGTTAATCTGAGTACTAGTTAAGGTAGAAGGGGTCAGTTGAGTCTGTAAGGTATAAACACTGAGAGGAGTCAAGAGTAAGAAGGAATAGATAGATCTGAGCAGAATGTACAAGTTCTGAAAGTAATGATTAACAAGACAAGAGTAGTGTAAAACAACAAAGCTGTACTTTAGAACAAGGTAATACAAGATGAGACAAGGAGAGAGAGAATGTTTACTAATAAGACTGTCAAATTACACACTAAGAGTTGTAATAGAGAGTAACTTGATTGCTAGAAAGTACAAATTATATGAGAGTATTTATAGAAATTATGAGTCCTTTGTAGCTACTAGTCCTTTGTAAACAAATCTACTACTGTCTCCTTTGTATCAACCTATCTAGGACTCTGAATCTGAGTCCCCTTTGTATTGATTGACTAGCTATCTAAAGGCTCAGAGTCTTACTTTTGTAAATTAGAACTAGAGTCTAGAACCTAACTAGTTTAAGTTGAGTGACTAAGACTATTGTGTAGACAATAATAACATAATTGAAGGATTACTAATGTGAGGATGATACAACTTTGATGTGACTGAGCCCTTCTGATCAGAACATATTAGAATGTATGTATTGTGTAAGTATAACAATGTATTAAGTAGGGAGGTAGTGTTCCTACACAAAGGTCTTATTAATGTACAAACTAGTACATTTACTGTCTACTAGAGCTGTTGTTCAGACCTGGGAGGATCCTGAGAAGAGAGCTAAGAGGACAGGGACTTGGAGCTAATGCCTGGAATGTCCTCAGATAAACTACTACTTGTTCTGAAGGGAATGTACAGCTTGTACAGTCTTATTGTCTAAGAGAGTAAGTATATGTACTAACATTTCCTTATTAACCTCTCTCTTTTGATAAGGATGGACCTATGTTCTTAGCTGTGAACTCAGCTGAGACTATCCCTACTTGATACTATGAACAAACTACTGAGTAGTGAATAGGGCTAGGTAGTATTCTAAACATTCTAAGATCTTAGAATACAGAAGTAGTAGGTTAGATTGTACAGATTTAGACTTGGATAAAGTGTGAAGAGAAGAATTAAAAGAATCAGAAGAAATAGGAGAACTGTCTACTTTTGTTTCCAACTTTTTTCTTTCTAATAAATAATTTTATTAATTTATTTTTTCTACTTTTTCTACTTTTTCTACTTTTCTTACTTTATTTACTTCTAATCCTACAGTGTCCATTGAATCAAAAGTAACTATTAAAAAATCTGAGTCATAACCCTTCAGTACTGTATTTACTGTTAGGCCTTTACAAAATCCTAGAGTATGTAGTTAGGGTCTAAGAGTTCTAAGGTGACTTTCAGATTTGTAGAAAAGGCTTCTTACTACAAATCCTGCTTGTTACTTGTTATTACTCTAATGACCTGACAAATATACTGTTGCTTCTGTAGGCAGTCCTTAATCTAGTGCCCTGACTTTCTGTAGGTAAAGTATGCTCCTCACTTTCAGGCTTCTCTAATGTTTATTAGAACAGATTAATTGTAAATTATAGACAGATTGATCTGAGGGCTTGGAACTGTCAGAGCTAAACACATGTGTAAACATTCTGTACAGACTTAATATATCTAAGCTACAGCTTGGTTGAAGGAAATGGTGTATGTCTTCCACTTAGTGTAAGTGACCAGTTCTAACATTATTCTAAGAATCTTATTAACCAGTTCTAAGTGAAGAGCTTTTTCAAGCATTCTAATAAGGACATTATCAAACTCAAGTATGAATCCTACCTTCTGGGTCAGAATATCAAACTCCTGAAAGAAGGCATTAGTAGAACATTTGCCCTGTTACAGAGACACAAGTTTGTTCTACACATTGTACTTCTCATTTAGATTAATAAAGGAAGTACAGAGCTACCTTATGAATTCTGAATATGACTTATTGTTCTGAAGTCAGATCAGGCTTCTGATCCAATAGTCTTCAATCCAGTTCTAAGCCTAGGTGGCTGTGTTACCTTCCTTTATGAAGGAGAGGACAAATAGGATACAATTAAGATCTGAGGATAGATTAGTCAAAGTAGTAGCTACATATAGTTTGACTTAGTACTAGAAGTCCTTAAAGTGTTACTTATTAAAGTCTGAAGGGTAGGCTACATACACTTTCTTTCTGAAACAAGTTACAACTTCTAGAACAATTAGAACAGGTTCTGAAGGGGTTAGAGGTACATGGTTAGTAAAGGCCTCTTAGATAAAGGTCTACACATATTAAGCTAGTTCTACTTGTAACTGCTGATCTGGCAGGACAGCAGGGGTGGCAGTTAGTGTAGGAGGGTCCATGTTTATACTATAAAGGAATCAATACTAAACTAAAAGGGGTAATGAATAGAAGAAGAGTGACAAAAGTTTAAAAGGGTTTAGAAAGTTTAAAATTTAAAAATGTAAAAGGGTTAGGACAAAGGAAAGAGATTGACACAATAGTAAGTACTAATGCTCAAAACATAGGAGAGTTGTAGGGTAGTAATGGGTAGTCTTAATCTGATGTTAGTAACAGTGTAGAGGGGACCCAAAGGCTCAGCAAGGGGACCTAGGCTACAACTATCCTACACAACAGAAATACAGAATGTAAGTACTAGAACATAGTTGGAACTTGTAGAACAGGCAGAGAGAGAGAGTAAGACAAGAGTAGAGTATATAGAGTAAGCCTAAGAGTACAGGACTACCTAGAGTAGACAAGATCAAGACTACAGGACCAGTCTGATCTTGTATACTTATATATACTAAACTATACAAGAGTACTCAGAGAGTATGAACTACTAAGAATGATAAGCCATGAAGAATGAAAGAAAGGGGAGGTCAAAGATAAAGGTACAAAGAATGAAGGGATGGACAAAGGGTAAGAGACTATAGAATGAACAAAGAAAGAAAGGGGTGGTCAAAGGAATGGAATGATAAAGTAAGGAAGGGTAGTAGTAAGAGTCAGCACACATATAGTCTATAGACAGTGCTCCTGAGGGACAGAAGTCCTAAGTTCTGGTACAGAAGGGTGTGGAACCCTTGGAACTGAAGGTACAGGAGTGGAGAATTGTAACACAAGGGTCCATGCTGTCACTTGGCCTGACTCTTTAGTCAAGACAGAGGATAAATGATTAAAAGGAAAGAAGGAAACATACAGCTGCAAGTGATGAGTGTTTGGATTCACAGTTAGCAACTAATGAATCTGATAGTACTTGCTTTTACCTTAGAAGGCCAAGGTTGAAATGTCCATCGGCTAGAGTAAAACATAAGAGCTAGACATTTTCTAGATTCACCAGAATATATAAATATTCACATACCAATACTGCAAATTGCCCCAAGAAGTCCAAAGCAGCGATTCTGAACGTCAAGGTCAACTTGAGTCACCTGCTACATGTTTTCACAATTCTCACTGCAAAATAAACCAGGCTAACAGAACTGGTTGGTTTTGACTTTGTCACTATCAGTGAGTCATGTATCTATACAACCAAGCATCAAACTCACCCAAAAATATTTTACCTGCAGACATAACTTGTCAGGTGTGTCAACACCAATTTTATTACACAATTGTTATACCTCTTTATCCATTGTTGTGACTAGGGTTGTTGTTCTGTCAGAAAGTTTCAATCAAGGAATTAAGGTACAAACATGTGTGATAGACTAATGTAGTCAACATTGCCATGAAAATGTAATTTTCAGTGATTAGTTCTGAAACAATTGCTTGCACCTCGCTTGCAAGGCTGTCTTCAGTGTCAGAGCGAGGGAGGAGTTTGTAGACATGAGCATAGTCGAGAGTCTGGTTTAACATTGGTGGAAAGAGTACGAGACGGGTCAAGGATACAGTCAGGCTAGCTGTCTTCTTATAAGAATCGTGAGCCCAAAAGGTGATACAAACTGTTTTTATGCCTCATCTCAAAAATGCAATGAGAGCATTCTGGTCGAAAACTGTTTCTACAAGGGCAAATAATGGAGGTGAGATGCAGACAAGTGCGTTGAGGTGATCTTGTAGAGGAAGCAAATGGACGTGATTGTTGCTCTGTACTAGAGCTGAATGAACAGGGACATCCGAAAGTTGCATAGCACTGATTGCCTGTGCCTGTAATGAACCCACTCGCGATCGCATCTTGTGGCACTGAGGGAGGGTATTAATTTGAAAATCCGATATAGTGTATAGAATGACTTGCCTTTCGTGTCAACTGTCGTAGATGCGTCTGCACTATGTTCATGCATAGTATCTCAACTCCCATGAGTCATACACAAGTTATTGGTCGCTCCTCGGATCCGGGACACGAGCCAAGGTCTCTGTGTCACATAGTAAACAGACTATATAGCGCTAGACATGGTAGTTCAGTACGGAGCGGTTCGCGACTCGTGAGATACGGAGTATGATCAAGAACAGGTCGTTATCCCAACCTTGATCTGCCCAATGCTGGACAACCAAACCTGCTTGCGACTTCACCGCTTTTATAGCTTGTCAACCTTACTGGTTAAGTTAAGAGCACACCCGGGCATTTTGACGAACAAGATTAGTGTAGGTCATGATTAAATGTGGTAAAATACAATGCAAGGGGAGCAAGAAATACATCGCAATTCGGTGTACTCTAAACGGACATGTATTGTGCCATCCTTAACAACAGAAGCATATCAGAAGTGAGGAGCATGCCAGGAGTCAACAAGACTCACGGAGAATCTCCCTTCTTTTGTTCTTGATCCTGTTCTGGATGCAACCGCTTTTCCAACTTTTGGAACTCCTCCAGAGCGATTTTCTCTTCTTCGTCCACTACTTGTTCAACGCCCTTCACCTCGGGTATGTAGTGCATCATCATACGTTCAATACCCGTCTTGAGCGTGACTGTACTTGACGAGCAGCCTCGGCAACTGCCCTTTAATTTGAGTTTCACTATCCCGTCATCCGAGAATTCACAATACTCAATATCTCCACCATCTTCCATGATCGCTGGCCGTACCCGTGTCTGCAACAATTCCTTAATCATTGCAACCGTATCCGAGTCCGTATCCAATATTCTCGTATCCTGTGGCCCTGCAGCGTCTCTATCCTCATCACTCCTAAATAGCGGCTGGCCAGAAGAGAAATGTTCCATGAGGAGGGAGTATACCTCCGGTTTGATGACGGACCACGAGACGTCTGGTTCTTTCGAGACTGTCACGAAGTCAGGTCCGTAGAAGACTGCACGGACGCCGTCGACACCCATAAGGCGTAATGCGAGAGGAGAAGCGAGTGCGGAGCGCGTATCGAGGAACTCGGCGGAGCCATCGGTCATAACGTCCACTCCAGGAATAAACTTGAGTGAGTCGTCATTGGGAGTTGATTCGGTTTGGATGAACATAGATCGTGCTTGTAGTTCAGTGTCAGCTTTAAACTCATACATTTAAAGAATTTTAGAGAGCTCACTTAGTTTAGGTGTATGCCTCTGTACGGTCGGTACAGTCAACCGTGACGAACTCGCAGAACTAACAGACGGTCCCCATCCATTCACCAATGTCGACGCATGTCGACTTGCAGCTGCTCGACATGCTACTGATGCAATATTTAGCGAGCGCCTCGCATTTCTCAGTGTTCGTAGAGAGGACGAAGCAGCTCTGAAGCTCATGATGGTCGATGACAAACGTGAATTTTGGACTTGTCCATTTCGTTTCTCGGTATTTCGGCGAAAGGGATTGGTTAGTCAGCATCGACCAATCAAAGAAAGTACGCTGTTTGTAGATATTTGAATACATTATTACATAATTTGTGCTTACAAGCTCCGCCTTGAACTTTCATTGAAACGCGTCGAACGCGTCAAGTTACTGTCTGAACTTACTCACACGGCGACTCCAAACATCAGCGCACACCACTCTTGCGTATACTACGCTCGCTTGACACGCTGTAACGATGTCAGACTTTCCTGCACTTCCTGGGTTCTATAAGCTCATGTATCTGCATCTCGAGCCAAGTGTGTGTCGTCCATCTATGAAGTCCAAAGGCTATGTAAATTGACATTTTGACCTGCTGTGTTCGATTAGTATCTACCATTGCACCTTCATTCTTTGTTTGGCTATTCCCTGGGACGGCATGGTTTTATGGGGAGCTCATTCCTGGAGCTCCTCCAGTGAAGGAAGATTCAATGGATCCTCGTGCAACGATGGCTATTTGGCAATTGACGAACTGTATGTAAATATATCTCCTCCGCTTTTCGGCGTGATAGTTCAAAGAACAAATGACTGAAGTGGAAATTTAGGCTACCTGCTCCTCGGCTTGATCTCAAGCCTGGTTTTCCGTGCTGTTCGAGATGCGCTCCCACATGATCCCGTTGCACAAGAGAGGATTGTTGGTGCGAGTCTTATGGCTCTTGCAATTGCCGATGTGAGTTGTATGTCTTTCCAAATCCTGGAGTAATTAAGGAATTGTCCTTTCTTTACTAGGTTACTCAGTGAGCTTCTCGATTTACTCGACCCTTGAACTTCACTAAAAGGTAATATTATAATACTGAACTCACAAACCAGTATGATCGCAACATGGATTGGCCTCCCACCTGAGCTCCGCTACGATCCTCTTTCATGGAACTCGGTGACACATGGGAGTATCACGACCGTGATCATACTCCTAAGCGGAAGGTAAACCCTAGCTTTCTACTTTCATCATTCTCTCCATGGCTGAGTAGCCCTCTCGTCTCAGATTGGCTTGGTTTGCAGGCATCGGACGGAAACGATATTATTATGGTCAGAAGTTGGTAAAGAAAGAGGACTAAAGGTGTCCTTGTGCCTTGTGCAATGGGTGTGGTTACTCCTGCTGATTAAGAGGCACAAGAAACGCATCAATATTTTATGCTAGTGCTAGGAGCAGTCTTTTACTCACACCGACTAGGCCAATATTTCAACCGGGTGGGTACACCTCCACAGGTCGACTATTCACACCTGCAAAGCACGCTTATCCGTCATCCCTTCAAATTTCTCTTGATACGACTCATGAATGAATAACTTGAAATTGTATTCTTTAGATAGGGAGTGTGCAATACATCTGTCTAACGCATTATTAGATGCTGGTTATAAAATGTTATACAGATACAATGGTGTCGGACCAATAAAAAATGGATGAGAAAATACGTCCGGGAATTGTGATGAATCTACGAGTAACGAAAATGGCATCAGTTTCCTATACTGAATGACTCTCCACAACCGCAAGCATCCTTGACATTGGGGTTCTTGAATGCGAACTTTGCACTAAAAGCCAAATACTTTGAGTTCGTTGTACAAGACAAGCAGTATGGAAGAGCTCACCTAAGTCGATCCTCAACCCAGTCCATCTCACTACCAATGATGGAAAATAATGCCTTGCTATCTATAAGTACTCGCACACCGTCTTGCTCTACGATTTCGTCGAACGGACTCGGTTTTTCGACGTATTCAAGGTGGTACGACATCCCTGCGCAGCCCTTGTTCCGGACACCGATACGGATAAGCTGTGGGTGAGGTCCAGATAAGAGTGCGCGTAATCTTTGTACGGCTCCGGGTGTCTGTGAAAAAGATATTCCGTTAGTGGTGCTTGAGAACACCAAGAAGACAGGAGGAGTACGCACGAGCGTTAATGCAGCTTTACGTCCGACTAGCCGCGGTTTAGGCTTCTCAACCTTTGGAGGTTTAGGAGGACGCGCAGCAACCTGCGGCGATGCGGCATCCGGAGACAGCACAGGTCCATTCTTTGCAGAAGATGATGAAGATGATTCTTCGGGAATAACCATCGGCGGACGGTCCCGCAGCACAGTCTCCTGCGCACTAAGTTTCGACGACGATGCTGCTGCAGGTGCATTTCCAATCGGCGCAAACGAAGACGATGTAGCGTATGCGTATGACAAACCCGTCGGGTTAAACAGATCGAGATGTGAACGTCCCGTCCATTGATTTCGTACACCGCGTGCCGCAGCGAGGTGAGTATATGTGTGCGCCGCAGAGAATGCGCGAGAGGAACTTGGCATGCCGCCAAATCGCGCTAGACTACTCCTGCATGCCATCGTCGTCATTGTCGTCGTCGTCGTCGTCGAACAATATTGTGAAGCGTTCGTAGATGGGTATATATGAAAGGATCGTTAGTGAGTACGACAAGAGCGAGTGCAAAGGTTGGAGTCCCTGACCAAGCAGCGATTTGCTTGGTGGAGTGACTTGCACAGAAATGGCATCGGATGTCTCCGGGATCATCTTTCTTATGTCAGCAAATCCTAACCCAATCGCACGGCGTTTATTACTCGTGAGACGATAATACCAACTTAGGACTCGTCGATCACAGCAGCAGAATTGGCTCATTTGGCATCACAAATGCGTTGTGCAACAGCCGCTGTAAAAACAGCCAACGCGTCTCCATACAACGACTCAGCTAGCCGCTATCTCGTCCTCATCATCTTCGTCGTGTAGAACATACAAAGTACTCCGTTAGTTTCGATCGATCATGCTTTCTCTCCACATTTTTTCCGGACTACGGAACAACCCAGCTCGGCGTTTCTTCGTAGTCCGTGAGCCTTGTGAAGGTCGTTCAGGGGACAGAAGCACGTCCAAGTCCGAGCGCATGTTATAAGGCACACCATTAGGTGCGACTCGTGTGACTCTCGCTGCGGGACGACATCTTCTCTTGCCTTGCTCCTAATATCTCCCTCATCTGCAATCCTCTTTTCCCTAGTCAGCAAGGGTCTGCAGTAAAGCACATCATTTATCAGGACCATCAATTCGCTCAGTCAACAAAGGAAAGATCTGCGTATTTGTAAGCTCGGTCATGAGTGTCGCTTTACCATTTGCTGATTTTTGTCATTGTCGTTCGCAAAGATGACGATGCTGTTTGACCTTGTGAATACAAGATAATGCCTAGGATGCTTCAGGGCAGTCCAAGCGAAACTGTCAGCATCCTATATGGGTGTACCATCAAAGTTCTACAGACAACACTGCAAGTAGGGTTGGCTTACAAGATACATGATGTGCTACCACCTAGTGCTCATAAGAGAGTATGACATCAGGTAGAGTCTATATCTCATCGGTCGAGCTCGTTACTAGAAAAGGTATTTGTGTTATCAATATGCATTTGCTCCCTTAAACTGTCTTATATCCTTTTCCAGAAACACTACTGCATAGGACCCAAGCAAGAACTCAATCACTTGTAGGATGCCAATGCACTCGATTGCCATTTGGCACAGTGAAATGCTAGCAGAATCGGTTTAATCGTCAAGTCAGCTGGCGTTACAGGCTGGAGTCAAATTTCTATTACACAAAGTCGGATTTGTCAAGGCCTTACAGAATACGTTTGCGTATGTATGTATCCACAGTGCTGAGTTCCATTCGGACGCTGAAACGCTGCAAGATATGGTTATATGCCTACTGGCGGCACTGGTGTCTAGTCCATCTACGGCTCGTGATTTCATGACGGCAAGGCGGAGATTAAGATGCGGGCTTAATTGCTGAATCTCGGATCTCTTTAGTTCATCCCAAACTGACTTACCGCCCAAATTCAATGCGTAAATGACTCAATCAGAATGGAACAACGTAACGTTTGCTGCGGATAGGCTGTCCATGTGTTAAGAAAACCATCTCGGCGTGGTGGACTCCGTCGTGAAAGCCAAGCCATTGGGGCGGGCAAATACAAATTCGAACCAGGAAACTCCTTTTGACTCATACCTAAATTGCAGAAGGACAAAGTCAATGGCTTATCTACACTCGTTATCTCAGATAGGAAAGTTGAAATGGGCAACAAGCTTGACATACGGGTAAGTCAGCTGGTTGTCTGTCTTCGTGTACGTATTCACGGAAGAACGTTTTTTCTACAGTTCCTTCACCTCGCCGTGAGACAGGGGCTTTGGATATGTACTCATTCAGAAAAATGCTAACGAACGATGGGCGGAATCACATTGACACCGTGTCTTTGGCGGCAAATCAGCGACTGGCAAACAAAGTTACATGTATAAAAATGCGTCTATAGCCTTCTTCGACAAGAACGTTCATGTGGTCGTCGTACTGCTTCTGGCCAATATGCCTCCACAGATCGTTCCGCGGCTGAATTGGCTCGTGGTGCAGTGCACGCAGTAATCTACACGCGCACAAACCGCGCATGATCTGATAACTTGTTACTTTGTAAGTCAATGATGTACGGGAAGACGTACAGCAACCCTGTTTGTTATGTTTCAAGTGAGCCATTTTCTATGTCAATTTCCAGAATGCATCTTGACATACTTTAATTCAGAGAGATAAAGTTCTTTGCCGAGATCGTTGAGTTTGTGGTTAGGCGAGGATTTGGCCAAATTGCAAAATACGATGACCGCATGGGGCAGGGACCATCAATGCGACGGGGCTTTAAAAAGGGATCTCAAGTTCTAGCTCCATCCTGGTCCTGGATTCGCGGGCCTAACGCTACACAGGGCCGAGATATAGGGTCACGTCACACAAAAACGTCACGCTGTACCACATTTATTTGCTTTCCCTTCGACGGAGTTTCTAAGCGGCCTCAGATCACAAGCCTCCCTTTCCATCACTTCCCGTCCCACATCCTGCAAGTCCATGTCCTGCTGATGGTACATAGTCCTTCCGTTTCATAACTTGGATACTAGTGACTTATTCCTTATTCTACTAGGTCTACGTCAACGCAAAGAAGTATGCATGGTTCGTGATGTGTCCTTGTTATTCGTGTTAACAACAGTGGATTAACCTCGTCACTTCTAGCGAAGCATGTATAAAGGGTCATCGTTCATCCAACTGCCATCATAATGACCGACCTCTTTACGAGATCAAGAAGAAAGGCCGACCAGTTTCACAATGTGATAAGTGTCGAGAAGCACGTCAGGCGCGGAGAATCCACGCGAAGTGTACTTGCGAGTTGGAGAGGGATGTAAATGCGGCTGCTGCAGCTGAGGAAAAGGCGAAGCGAAAGGGTGTGTCATTGCTTGTTGAGCTGGCGAGCGGCTAGCGAAAAGAGCTCATTCTGAGTCACTCGTCGTCATCTAGGGAAGCGCTTTGTGCCCTGTCCACCCTCCCTGCCAAACGGACTTAAGGATGCGCTGAAGGCTTCAACGTCTTCGACTGTGGAGACAAGTGGTCCTAGACAACCAGGTCCGTGTGTAGCAACTCATGATTCTTTACGTGATAGTTTACTCATGTCGCCCACAGTCGATGCCTTGCTTAATCCTTGTCATTGCAAGGATATTTACAATTGCAAGTGCCGATCACAAAGCGATTCGAGTATCAAGCTAGTTGCACGCACAAGCAAGCCCGTTGACCCAGCAATTTTCAGCGATGGGCTCTCTGCGTTAGCAATGGTGGCTGCATGCTGTTCTCCAGCAGCGCCTCCCGGACTTCCACCTATTGCAGTGCCATACGGATCTTCAGTTAAAGTAGGATCTATAGGTATTAACCCAACCGTGGAGAGCGAGTACACACAACACATGCCTTCCTCTCACATGGGTGAGAAATCTGAAGCACGAACAGCTGGCCCATCCAAGAGAAAACGATCACCACGGTCTTCTCCTGTGCCACCATATCTCGAAGCTTCTGACGTAACGACCAATTTGAGACGCTTGAGACCAATAGCGCCTGCTTCATTCGGAACGGATGGACCGACTTGGCCGGGTCCGGTCCCAGTCCAGTATCCTCCGCCGTCTAGCAGTACAATTGCGAGCACTGCTCCACCCACGACACCGGCTGATGATTCACACTGCTGCTGCGGTACTCGCTGTGAATGTGCTGGCTGCAACGTTCACTCCGCGTCTATCAGCAGAGTCCCAACTCCATCTTGGGTGGATGATCCTGATGAAACGAACATGATTGCCGCGCCTGCTCAGATGCACGCGCCTGGTGTAAAATGTGCTGAGACTTGCCCAACTTGTATCGATTATGAAGGCGGTGTCGAGCTCCCTCCGCTCAGCAATGTACCGGGTGTTGCTTCTAACGCACGTGCGCCAGCCCCTCCGTACCTTTCAGCATTCTTCGCTCGCGCGGCGGCGCTTCCTGCACCGCCTGTGCATACTCGATCAAGTTTCGATCCGACGAATGTTGCAGTTTACCCTTCCGGACTTTTTGCACGAGAAAGAAGCCAGAGCACGGCGGCGGATGAAAATGAACGGCCGCGTGCGTTTGGACTCGTACGGATCCCGAAACTGGAGGAGTGTTGCGGCGGCCGTTGTGGGTGTCCCGAAGATGCGTGTGGCTGTGGAGATAGGTGTGAAGGGTGTTGCATGGATGGTGTTGAGCGGATTGCAGAGGACGTTGACGGTGGGGAAGGCGCTCAGGCGACTCCGAGATTATCACCGTCTGTCAGCTTTGCTCGTCAGCCTGAGGAGATTGTTCCAGCTTCAAACTCAATGTCAAACACATATACATCTAAGAGCTGCTGTGGAGGCTAGACTTCTGAAATGTCTTGATCCTTATTTTCTCTCCTCGGATTTATTTGCTGCAGGTGGTCTTTTCAATGATATTTAGTTCTTTTGTTCTCTGACCTTTATCCATCTTGTTCAGTAGTCATCAGTTGGGTTATCCTCCGTTTTTCCACCTTTTTTTCGGCGGGGGAATTTTTTTCTTTTTTCAACCACCTTAGCTCTAACCTCATATCTTCTTAAAATCAAACTCGGAATCGTCCGAAATGTACACCGTCACCACATTAACACCCTTTACCTTTCTCTTCCTTCTCCAATACCACTTGTATGCTATCTACTCTGACCTCGTGCCACGATCTTCTTTCTATTTTGATGAAGAAAATGAATTAAGGAGTAAATAGCCAGTTTGTTTACTTATTTCTTGGTGCAATTGCGATTGGGTGGATCTACTACTGTATTTAGTATACATAAATAAGTTCTGGCAGAGATATATGTTGTATGATGGAACAGGTGAACCGTATAACGCGATAACAAGCAAGAAAGCACGAAAAGAGAAAAACGACAATAACGCACAAAGCCCTAAACCCGCAAGCCTGTCTAGCAGAAGCCAGCTGAATTGATTATCACCCGCTCCATCACTGTCAATGTCAAATGCAGAAGTCGATGCGAATGTCAACGGGATGGAATGGAGGCTGAATAGAATTAGCGTTGTACAGAGTTGGAGTTCAGAATTTGTAGAGTTGGTTGGTTCTACGTAGAGCCGGTGCTCGTTCCCATTCATTTCCGCGGACATCCGATGAGATGGTGTATACTTGAGAGGAAAGTAGAAAGACTGCTCTTCCTGTCTATGCGAGAAGGGAGAAGTTATACGCTATTTTCGCCGCGGGCAGACAGCAGGCAGAAAGAGAAGAGTAGAATGGATCAATAGGAAGAATAAGCTGAGAAAAGAAGAGTAGCACTTACGTATCGTCTGGGATGTCGAAGTGGAGTATAGCCGCGATAACATGGACAGGATGTCGGTTTCAATAAGAGTTTATGGCGTGCGACGCAAGGCAGGGAAACATAAAGGCATACCTTCGTATATGAAACGAGACTATACGCAAAATCGGAAGTATATGGTCAGATACAGAGGGAAAAGCAGATGTGGGTAACATTACTAGGCAAGGGACTTACTTTCTTCGGGTCCTCGGGAGCGTACATTACGTATCGATCATTGCCTTCTGGTCTACATGGGACGAAATCAGTAAGCAGTCTGTCTGGTGGAGCTGGAGCAGAAGAAAGGAAGGAGTGAAGTTAAACATTCAAGGGCGAACTTACCGTTCTTTCTTCTGTGCAATTCGGTTCCGAGAGAGAGGTTAGTACGCGTTTGATGAGGTCAAGAAAATATCATGTGGGAGCGGACGCGGAACGGAGTACGGAAGGAAAGAAAGACGGTCAGACGAAAGTGGCGGCAGACGTGAACTTACCCTGCACGAGGCTAACATGCTTTGTAGCGATATGCAGATGGCAGTTACACTGAGTACGGGTGACCAGCCGTCTCCGAGGATATTTGCGCAAATCTGTGAGATCGAAGATATCGTGTAAGTATGCGTTTGAACCTCGATTGCTTCGGAAACGCGGCTCACATGTCCGTTTGAGTAGACGTGCTACATAATGTAGAGGTAAACATGATGCTTATTTCGGTTAGAAAGAGACATCCGGCAGACGTACCGGGTGCAAGGGAGGTTGGAATTTATCATCCGCAACGAACGTCACGCTGGGGGACGAAATCGGGTATTGTGCATCAAAGCGGAACTTGAGCATGAAGGTCTCGCCCTGTATACATCCGTCGACGCGTCATATCGAGAAATACCATTAGTCGGTGCACGAGAGACTGGTAAATTATAGCGTACCTGGTATAAACTTTCTCCGAGCACCTCCAGCGAGAGGAACCACATCTCGAAGTCATCCGCTTGTATCAGCTTGATGCCTGACCACAATACTTAGTGTGCTGTACATCGTGTCATCGTGAGTGTTTGTTTTACCCTGAGGACAGTCCTTGTGAATCTCCTTGAGCTCCTTCTGAAGTCGTCGCGTAGAGATGCTGCTCATTGTTGTATAGTGGTTGAGGACGAAGACGGTATTAGAGCGCTAAACTGACGAAAGCCGAACCAGAGCCTTGCACTTGGCATCCACCGTCGATCATTGCTACATTTGGAATGGGGACAAACAAAGTCAAATATGTGAGAAATAAATAGATTCTGCCTTATTTACAATTACGAACCGTCTTCAGCGATTCACAGGACAAGACGGTCACTGAAACCATGCTCTGCATGTCCAGTTGCTCTGTCTCGTGTTTTTATTGGTCACTGCTACGTGACTATGACCTCTGCCTCTGCAATCAAACCTGAGAAGAGAGCAAGTACTTTGGATGGCATAATGATTAAAGCATATGCAGGGATACTAGAACATGTCTCATGGACAGAATAGACCAGAAGTATGAAAGAAACTGAGAAGTTGGTGAGCTACAGACCCCTGTGCAAGGATTATGGAAAATACCTTTGATAGAGTAAGGGAATGACCGAGATGAGAGCTTGAGAACGTGGATGCTTGACTAGATATAGCTTTTAAAGTACTACAGGTATGTAGCAAAAGTCTTCGTCATTCCTCAAAAGGTAAGTGTATCTGTAAGTGATTTGCGTTGACTTATAAGGCTGTAAGAGACACATCAAACCTTTGTCTTACATTTCTAGCATACATGAACACATTATACACACAAAAAAAACATGAAAATACAAGCCATTTTGTGAAATTAATGCAAAATTCTGTATTTTTTTGTACTTCACAATGTGTCGATCAAAGCATTGATCTACATCTAATTTCTTTGTATGGCATGCAAATCACTTACAAATACATCTACCTTTTAAGGAATGACGAAGACTTTTGCTACATACCTGTACTGTAGTTACTACTGGTGGCAAAGACCTTGTTGGCATTCTCTCTACTTTCCCGAGAATCCTCCACAGCATCCCATATTCATACGTAGGATGGCATGCTCATATCTGATGAAGCATCTGCTTGAACTTCGAGCTGGAATCGGGTGATGCATGGGCAAACAGTCTGGTTGTTGAAAACGCCAAGAGCTTCTAGCATAGTGGTGCATGGAATACCGGAAATTGTAGGACATAAATCGCCAAAGAATTAAAGGGTGCGTTGGTCAAGATTTGGGTCATTTTGTGCAGTCGAATTCACAGGCTTCGGACTCCCATCTTGGCTATTCCTTCACCTTCTCATGGATTGTGCCTTGGAACCCAACAATACGGGACTCACTGCGAGGATCCGTATGCTGTTCCAACTCACCGGAGACTCTTTATACTCAATACAAGATTGACAGTCTAACATTCCATACCATGTTTATCGATCACGGCTTATTTTCCTTAAGATAGAGAGTCTGGTGGCATTGCATAACGTGTAGGTCTTCTGTGTATTTTTCCATGCCATGCCTTTTAAATGAGTCCGCATGCATAAAATAATTACGCAAAACCTAGGCACGTCCGCTCTTAACTACTCCCTCTCGGAGACAGTAACGGCATGTATTACTGTCTATTTTTAATATTTATCCCTATGGTGAAAAGAGAGACGGAATCTAAAAATAAAAATAGGCTTTTAAAAAAGGGCGTACATTTCGCTGTACATTCCTACTTCCTTCTAACTCTACTCTCACGTTCACTTCGCGAGAGGCGTAAAGAAGTCGCGGTCGTGTGGTGGAGAGTGAAGGGAAGAAGAACTCTTGTGTGTCGTGTTGCAAAGGGAAAATAACATACCGGATTACGACACGGAGGAACCCCAGTCGGTATGGCCCTAGTCTCTATGCCGCTGCGTCCTGCTACGTGGTAAAGGTAAGTAAGGGGAGCAGATCCGAAGGGAAAGGAAAGTCGCTGTATTGCGATACAAGGACGTTGACGATCTCTTTTTGCATTTTCTGTGCGTTGTACGTGTAGACCGCGTGTTGAGGTTGAGGCGGAGCCGAACGGCTTGAATTGTGCGTTGATACACCCGAGTAAGGGGATTGGTTTATTGGAGCCTAATGCAAGCGAGGTACACACCATTTCGGTCTCATATCATGCAATAGTGGGACAGAATTCTGTCAAGTAGATGCAGTCACTAATATTCATCGTTGAATGTCATGAAGAAAGTCTATTCGTTTGTAATTGTAAACCATAACATGCATGCATATGATCTTGGAATCTTCCTTCTACATATATGCGTCATTTGAGTGAACAAAATAATACGGACAGTAACCATAGCACTACGCCTCCTTCTTCTCCTTATCTGCCGCCTGTTGCGCACCAGCATGAACCTGCGGCCTTACGCGGGGTGGCAAGATCATTGTCGGTGGAAGAGTCGTAACCGGTGGTAACAACGAAGCAGCCTGACTCCTCGCATTCTGCATTAACAACATGTCCATGATCACCAGTGCTGCCATCGCTTCAACAATCGGTACGGCTCTCGGGACGACACACGGGTCGTGTCTACCTCTAGCAGCAAGCTCACCCTGCGTGCCATCATATTGCGCAGTGGACTGTGCTTGACTGATAGTTGCGGGGGATTTGAACCCTACGCGGACGTACACGTCTTGGCCGTTAGTTATTCCACCTTGTACACCTCCGCTCCAATTCGTTCGGGTTCCGAGACGTCCGTCGGGGCGCGCGACGAACGCGTCGTTGTGTCGTGAGCCGGGTACCTCTGTCCCTCTGAATCCGCTTCCGATTTCAAAAGCTTTGGTGGCGGGGATGCTTAACATCGCATGTGCCAACGCAGCTTCGAACTTGTCGAATACAGGCTCTCCCAGCCCAGGAGGGACGTTTCGCATGACGCAGGTGATCGTCCCACCGATAGAGTCGTGAGCTTCCTTTGCGCGGAGGATGCGTTTCACCATGCGCTCCGCCGTCTCCGCGTGCGGACAACGCGTCGAGTGTGCGTCTACCGCTGCACGCGTAACTGTTGAGAGGAGTTGACGGAACTCGGGCGTAAGCGCTTCTTCAATCTCGTCGTTATCCTCGTCATGTGAGATTGCGCGCCCGTCGACGGAGGATGGGATGGTGATTTTCCCTACTGAGGAAACGAAGGCTACGATTTCGATGCCGTAGACTTGTCTGAGGTACGTCTCGGCGATGGCGCCTGCTGCGACACGTCCTTCATAAAGAAAGACATGCCATTTAGTCGGATTGTAATATTTTATCACTCGAAGGAAAAATTCCTACCAATCGTCTCCCGAGCACTACTCCTGCCACCTCCACTACTAGCCTTGATCCCATATTTCTCAAGATAAGTATAGTCCGCATGACTAGGTCGAGGATACAAATCCGTCTCAGAATAGTCCTTCGGCCGCTGGTCTTCGTTCTTTACAAGTAAGCCAATGGGAGTACCCAACGTTACGCCATGCTCGACACCGCTTTGGACATGCACCAAGTCTTTTTCGTCGCGCTATAGGAATATGCAAGGTCGGGTTGAAAATACAAATGGCGTGGATAGTAATTGACCAAATGGCGCAGCGATAGAAAGCGCGTTAGCGAGTTTCAAAGACGAATTTTTTTTCCAGCAGACAGAAGTAGCGGCGGGACAGGCGGCATGCGGTGCATGATGGAACCGACAGATGGGACGCGGTGGATTCGAGTGGGATAAACGGGATGATGGAAACACCGTACGACATGCGATCGGTCGTATTTCATTCATACAACCAGAAAGCCATTCCCGAGCCATGAGAGAGAATGTCCGTATAAAAATAGGGCGCACGAGTTCAAATAGAAAGAGACGAAAGGCGACAACAGATTTTGCAAATTGACGTTTCGGCAATCCGTCATTGGACATTCGGCCGAGTCATGGCAGTGGATATGGTGATGAGATCCGAGGAGGCACAGCGACCAGATGAGAAGGCACAAAGAAGCGAGGGGCAACAAAGCACCGCGTCAGAAAACGGATTACAGAGACAGATACGCCACCCCCAGCCCCGGCCAACAAGGAGAAGTCAACGATCAGTCAAAAGTGATGGGCGTTAATACAGAAACAGATCAGTAACAGGATAAAGATTTGCCGAAGTCCAATTGGATAGACGCGTCAATAATTTATGGTATATAGAATATTTGATGATGTCCATGATGGCGCAGTGGTGGTTGGCAAGCAGCACAAACGACGATGGCGCGGGTCAGTCAGGCCGACGCGAGCAAGGGACCGGAGGTACGGATCCGGTAAGAGCGCAGTAGTAGATCAGAAATAGGTGGCGGATAAATATATCAACCCATCATTTTTGGATATTCGAGTTGGCAAGGCGCAGGATGGTTGGTGTAGAAGATGGGGATAGAGACAAGATGCACAAAACCGAATCATTGGATAGTGAGAAATACATTCAACGAATGAAGTACGCTTATGCTCACCGGAGTGGTCAGATTGCTCTGTCCGGGCCGTCGCCTGCTGAGCTGCACCTGGATGTCTGCAGCAGTAAGTTGGAGACCCTGATCAATGGGGAACAAGTGTCTCAGTAACACGAGAAGACAAAGAAAGAGCGGCTGATGTAACGTACCGGTGGACAGCCGTCGACGATGCAGCCGACCGAGGCACAATGGCTTTCACCATAGGTCGTCACGCGGAAGAGGGTACCAAACGTCGACATGTCGTGCTTGAATTCACAAGAGGAAGAAAAAGGAGAGAGACAACTAGGCGAGGCGAACGAAGTGATTATATGCGTCCCTAGAGCCCAGAAGACAACGGCCGCAGAAGATTGTGCTCGTCGTTTCCGTCTGCGTCGGCTCGGCGTGACTCGCGTCTGCGTTCCGATTTGGGCAACGTCGATCACTGTAATCGCCTTAGAGCGCGTCAGGGCGATTCGCGCGTCTTGCATCGTCCGACTCAATAGCCACAATGTCTCCTCCAGATACAAAGCCCATCCTCGCCCCCGCCCCTGGTCCAGATCAGACCTCAGCACCGAACGCAGCGTCTTCAAATGCAAACGCAAGTACTACCAGAGCAGGAGCATCTGCACAGTCTGCGCCGCGTCCACGGCAGCGTAAAAGGGCCGTGCCCATTGAGCCAGACTCGCTTTATCGTGGCGCCTCTGCATCTGCGTCAATCTCCGCCTCGGCAGTCGGACACGGTACACAAGGTTTTTCAGGTGCAGGAGCGAAACGTGGCGCGCAGGACAGGACGGATGGTGAACCGCGCAAACGGAAGCGCGTCGACCCAAACATCGGGTCAAATGCGAGTGCGAACCTATACACGAAGCAAAGCGCAAATGCACATATGCACGGTCATGGACACCCCGGCGTGTCTTCTAGGACAGGCGCAGGATCTGCTATCGCGAGCGCTGTTGGAAGTGTTGCTATCAACGGTAATAGTTTCGGTAGTGGCAGCATTAACAGCACTGGACTGCAAGTGGCAGGTGATACAGATGGTCAGCCATCTCTGGTAAGTTTTACAGATTCACCCCTTCAAACACTCGGAACTACAGCTTGTGCACACACACGCGGGAGCAGAATCATGATTGAGCTGACGGCTGTTTGCAGTTTGAATTTTCGACGTTACCGACATCAGCGTTGTACGAGTACATCATCCAGTTCAATCTCGTGCCCATGATCTACCCGACGCCGCTGACAGCCGATGACCCGCCACCTCCCGGTTTGTTTTCATTGTCTGCTGGCATCATTATGCACATCTTATGCTGGTTTATTAGCTTTGCTTCTCGACCCGGCACGAATGGCATCACGTGCACCGACTCCCACACCACTTGCAACTCCGGCCAACCGGCCCCGCCGGATCCGCGAGCCAAAAGAGGCGGGCCGGCGCCGAAGTACCCGTCTCATCGAAGACGAGCTACGTGGAGGTGGCATCGCCAGTGCACTCGACCAAGTGCCCGTGCTGGCAGATGTTGCCGCAGTACACGGTGTGCTGGCTGCGATCGCAGCACGGCATTTCCGGGAAAGCAGCGTGCGCGAGGTGGATACCCTAGCATCGTTTATGGGAGCTGTGAAGGCACGCGTGCGGCGGTAGAAATAACTCGTAAGCGCGAGTGTGGGAGGATGTCGTTATGGCGTGCCAATGGGAATGCAGGAGAACAGGATCTGATTCGTTGTTGCTTGTAGCTAGGCCTGTCTGATGGGAGCTCTAGAAATAACCCGCCCCGTTGTCGTATTCTGCCGTTGCCAAGTGACTGCTGACCGAGCTTTCCGGCGCTACGCTACGGGTTCCCAATATAAGATAGCGCCATCTTCCGCCCTCTTTTTCTTCAGTCCCTCAGCACTCACCACCACCTCACCTTTCGTCTTCTCGCAGCAGTGCTGCCTGGTTTCTTTTTACTGTGCGTACTCTTTCTGCCCATTCACTCGCCTACTCCTCTGCTATGTCTGTTTACACACTGACACTTGTACCTGCAGCTCTTTCCTCGAGGATCCTTCCCCCACTCGTTCTTTTCAACTTCGCTCACTGAAGCTCGCATATAGTCGACCTTCATTTTTACACGCTCATACGTCTTAACAAAGCATCAAGATGAAGTTCGCAGCCATTCTCTCTTACGTCGTCGTCGCCCTCGTCGCCGGTGCAGTTGCCGACCCCCAGTTCGGTGGTCGCCAGGGTAATGTAAGCTGTCTCACGGTTATCTCGGCGCTTGCTATGCACAAGACTCATCTCTCCTTTAGGGCAAGGGAGGTTTCGGCGGTTTCGGTGGAGGCAACAACAACAACGCCCAGGGAAACAACGCCGGAAACAACGGCCAAAATGCTAACGGTCAAAACAACAACAACGGCGGCGCTAACAATGGCGGAACGGGCACCGACACTGCGTCTGCAGCCGCAAGTGCCACTTCTGCAGCTGCTGGTGGAAACACCGGTAACAACGGTGGTGGTAACAATCAGGATGCGCAGGACAGCACGACGCTCGACCCCGCTGTGGTTGCTACCGGCTTCGCTCAAGACGGTCAACAGTCGCAAGAAGCGGGTCAAGTCGCTTCTCTCACGTCCACGAACAACTTCATCAACTTCTGCTTAACCGTTAACAAGCCGATCACTAACGGTCAACAGATCAAGACTGGTTCTTGCAATCCGGCCCCAATGGGTGTCATCGCTGCAACAACGAACATGCCCTCGTCCAAGTTTGTTTTCCCACCTAACGGTGCAACAATCCAGGCGAACCAGGAGTTCACTATTCAGATGGCGATCAGCAACATTGAGACGGGTAACTTCGTGAACGCACAGAGCAACTACTACTCTGCTCCTCAGCAAGTAAATGCACAGGGTGACATCATTGGACACACTCATGTCACTGTCGAGCAGCTCTCCTCACTCGACCAGACGACCACGACGGACCCGAACAAGTTCGCCTTCTTCAAGGGTATCAATGGAGCTGCGCAAAACGGCGTCGTCACTGCTGACGTTACGGATGGTCTTCCCGCTGGTGTTTACCGTATGGCCTCGATCAACGCTGCTGCAAACCACCAGCCGGTACTGGTCGCTGTCGCCCAGCACGGTTCTCTCGACGACATGGTCTACTTCACCGTCTCGGACAACGCTGCTGCTGCAAACAACACTGGTAACGCAGGCGGCAACGCTGGTAACAATGCGGGCAACGCCGCTGGTAACAACACGGGCAACGCTGCAGGCAACACTGGTGCTAACGGCCAGAATGGTGCCAATGGTGCTAACGGTGCCAATGGTCAGAACGGTGCTAACGGACAGAACGGTGGTGCGCAGGGTGGTGCCAAGCAGGGTGGCGCTGGCGGCTTCGGTGGTGCAAAGGGTGGTCAGAACGGTCGTGGACGCGGCCGTGGTCGTTCCCTCCGCTTCGCTCGTGACGCATAAACTCACTGCTTAGTATCAGTAGGGTTTCCTCCCTCTCTCTGTAATAGAGGACGATTCACCATCCGTTCATATGTTCATTAGTTCATTGACCATACCCTAGTATTCGCCCTGTCTCTTGTTCATATTTAACGCTGCACGCTTACGCTCTACTTTCCATTGAAATCGTCTGTTTCGTTTTCCCTTTTGTCTCTTTGTTTTTTTGCCTGGTGTACATTCCCTTCACCTCACCGAATCGCATCGGTTACCTCTCTCGGAGGTGTCCTTTCCTTCCTGTAGCGGCTTCTTGTTGTAAATGAACTTGAGGCGGATAGGATCCTTTTTTTCCTTCTCTAATCCGGAATGTGTGCTATATTGTCTCTCCGCCGGACGTCAACGCAAATGGACTGTATTTCATTTACAAAGTGAAGAAGGGAAAAGTACGACTAAAACTGAGAATAAGACTAATTTTAGGACTTCGTGTTTTTGCGGAGATCTCCATTGAGGGTAGCGGGAGCTATGCATTCAACCGTCCTTGACGACGCATAAATGCACGTCGCTGTACTGTGCATGTATTATTGGGTAAGTAATAGCTGTTTGCCAGTAATCCCGAGTTCACTTGCTGAACTCGTAAAACACACCTAAGGCTGCCAACATATAAATGTACGTACGCGAACAAACGTTGTTGAAAATGCGAGTGAGATAAATCACACAAAAGGGGCGGATAAATTCAAGCAGGTTGTCACCTGCGTTGGGAGGGAACGATCAGACCTTGACGACGCACGGATTGGTTGTGTGATCCAGGAAGGTGAAATGTATTGAATGTATTTAGTGTAGCAGTTCGGCATTATCGAATGAGCCTGTTCGGCATCGGACTTTGTTGCGGTAGAAGAGGCAGGAAAACGTTTCCAGTGCGATGGGTTACGTTGGTTGTTGGTCCCAGCTGGGAGTCGACGATGATTATGATGGGCAAAAGGGTCCGTGCGTACGGGCATACAATGCGTCAAAAACTTGTTGTTTTACCGTGCTGCTCGTATTTATTTTTACGTTCGTTTTCCTTTGTTTATTTTAGGAGTGGAGGAGAGGCGGCCTCGGCGTGCGTTTATTAATAGTACAGAGATGCAAAGGAAATGCAGAACAGGGATGGGTGACAGCAAGTTGAAAATGAAAATTGAATGAAATGAGAAAGTCGTGTACAGCCGTCGTGTTTACAATTACAGGAGGAACAGGAAGCAGAACGGAGAATAGCAGGGACAACAGGAGAGGAACAGGGAGCACAGACACTTGACTTGCATATGCCAGATAGATGAATACGAATAGAGACGGAAGAATGAAGATGAATGAATGAATGATCATCAACATCACGATCCGACGAATAAAAAATGGTGTGTGAAGTGATTAAACCGCGGTTGGGTGAACGGGAGATCCGGTGAATGCAAAGAAGAAATTTTTTGAACTGACTGATTGATTGCTGGACTTGCCACACTGTGAAGGCGGCTCATCGGCGTCACAAAAGTGATAGATGGATGGGACGAACGCAAGGATAGATTGGATAGGATGGATAGATTGAGGAATCCAGAAGACTGATGGTTGTTGGATGGTTTGGGTTGCTGGACAGATTACCCACGAATACGAAATTTTCTGGCAAGAAGCTAGTAGCCGGGGGGACGATGTCATCGGTGAAGACATTGTTCAGCGAGGCCCATGCCGTTGTTGCCGCTCGTCCAACGACTCATCCTCGTCGCTGTCGGCAGGACAACACCAGCACGCGACCGATCCGCACTTCCACGCCCACCACTGTTGAGCGTGTTCGGTCGGTTAGTCAGGGGAGATCGTAGTGCAGTTGCGGACGGACAGGTCGGGTCGTCGCAGATCGTCGATTCGTTGTTAATCACGCGCACCCCAATAGTCGTCGTCGAGAAATAGGATTACCGCAATCGTCGTTGTTCGGAGTCGGCGTCGGTCATCGTCGGTCCAGAATCCAGATCCAATTTTAGTCCCAGGACCAGGGGCGCCCGTGGTATTTTTAGTGCACATAAAAAGAAGGGAGATAAAAAGGACCGTCAGTTTAGTGTGTGTGACGAATAGACGCAAATTGAGATGGCAACACAAGGCGCTATTGCTCTATATCGAAAGGAAGGCGGGGCAGAATAAAGAAGGGTGACGGGAACAGTCAAAAATAGACACATGAGATGGAAGGACAACGCTCGCGGGCCTGTTCAATCGTCGTCCTTCATTTGGGCTCGGTGATCCCGGAGGACGATAGATCAGCAGTACACAGGATGATCATAGCAAGGCGGCCGACAAGCTTTGTTAACGCGATCACGCACTTACGGAAAGAAGGAAGAAAAGGAGGAACTTGAAGATGACGACGGAAGGAGCTGTTGTGAAGGGAAACAGAGATAAGAAAAGACAGGTGACATACATATCCATTGAACAGCCGCCATGGCCATGGACCGAAGACATCCACATCCTGACGCCCGGGTGGTGGTCGGGCCCGTCGGCGATTTAATGCGTCATTCTCTTCACCTGGAACCGGTTCGCCGTACAGACGCCGCGTGCGTGCACCGAGCCTTGAACCAGGTGCAAGCAGCAACGGTGTTCGTTCACCGGGATCCGACTTTGCTCTTGCTCCAATAGGTGCAGGTCCTGACGCAAGGGCAGCTGTCACCGACCTTCGCGACCTTCGTCGTTTATTCTTGAGCGCAGCAACAAGTGAGTACGAGGCTCGAGTCTCAGAGTCGTCGGGTGTATAGCGGAGGGGCGCTGAGATGGAGGAGCACAGGGATGATTCGGAGTCTACGGAGCCTGCAGAGTCTCGTCTTGCCTGAGAGCGAGTATGTGCATGCGAATGAGGATGCATGCCTGAAGCTATCCGTACACGGGAGCGAAATCGGACGCGGTACGAGGGCCTGGAAGTATGCGCGGCGTCTGCACCATTCGGCAGCTGCACGGTGTTATCTAGACGACCATCAGACCCTGCAGGCATCTCGACTGCATATAGCTCTCCAGGAGATTGCAGGTGAAGATGGAGAGCATTGGTAGGAGGTGGGGGAGACACGGAGACAGCTACGACATCAAGCTCTGGCGATGTTGTCCGAAGTCCATACAACACCTCCGCCCGTACGTCGTCCTTGGTTTTACCATGATCACTTAGCAGTCCCGGAGGTTCCGCATGTGCTATGCCTCCAACTTCATTGACGCTGCTTTCATTTGACCTTTGCTCTAAGATCGACGACAGCGTTAAAGTTAGCCACAGTAAATCGATTTCGGCGAATTAGAGAACAAATCAAGACTCACCCGTGGTCGAACTCTGATCCTGCTCGCGTGTCAAGCTATTCCTAGTATCTTGCTCCATTTTGAGTGTAGATTGGACCCGACATGCTCGTTCGTTGTTGAGAAGGGTGCTGAGCGATGTCTCAGCGTTCAGTCGTGCACACGTTATGCAGTTGCTTGTCCCTATCTCCAAAATTAGAAGCACGTCAGTCCGATATAATCTCACGTGACAATAACATTCTTTACTTTACAACTTCGGAATCGGAAGCAAAATAATGCAGAAGAGCCTAACGCAGAGTGAAATAAACGTGCAGAGGTAGTAATCAGCCAACCTTTTGTTCCACAATTATACTATTTATTGGGTTGTAAAGAGACTAATGATATATAATATCTCACAATCCTCTGACTCTGTTCAGCATTCATCAGGAAGTCTTAATAGTTGTATTTGCTTATATGCTAATATAATTTATAAAATGTATAAAATGACTTAAATCCAACCTGGATTGGCTGATTATGTAGCAATTTGTATAAAAGGGTAGCATATAGATTGTATATTTTCATAATTTGTATCATACAAGTTGACCTTTGTAATATATATAATTGTATATGTGTACTTAAATTCAACCTTGGTTGGCTAAGGTTGTAGAATAATGTATGCTTTCAGAGTAATTGTACTGCATTACATGTTACTTTATACTTGTATGAGATTATATCTAATAGTATATAAATATAGTTACATAATTTCCACACATTATAATAGATTTAAAGTAATCTAGACGAGTCTAGTTGTATTTAGACATTTTCTCATGTAGTAGAAGGCGAATCTGCTCGCAGAGATAACCCAAAGCCTTCTGCTTTCTACTATGAACCAGTACACTGTACTTGTTGTCCCAGACCTCCTGTCACTCATTCCTTATACATGGGATAAATGCAACCCTCTTTACTCGCCTGACAAAAGGGAATCGATAGAATGGATGCTCAAATACAATGTCCTCACCAACCATAGACGCAATCGACTGGATGGCCTTAACGTTGAGCTCTCTGGTGCATATCAATATCCATCCAGCAATGCTGAGGGACTGCGTATTGCCACCGACTTTGTGATGATTCTCTTTACCGTGGACGAATTTACCGATGTTCAGGACGCAGACAGCGCCAAAACAACCCGCGATGTATTCGTTAACGCACTCAATGGAGTGTCCAGCAATGATAAATCCCCAATAGCATTGTTCACTAAAGAGTATGTCAGACAGCTTATATTCTGTTTCACCAACGACTAGAAATCTCCTGCATAGTTTCATGACACGCTTGTCGCGCATTGCTTCTCCGGAGGTACGCGAAAGATTTGTTTCCCATTGCGTCGCATATATCAATGCCACTGCGAAAGAGGCGACTCTGCGTGCAACCAACAAGAAACTGTCATTTGAGGAATACACTCATCTGCGACGAGACAATGGAGGTGAACTTGCTTGTTTTGACCTCATTGAAGCCGTACTTCGAATTGCACTCCCTGCAGAGGTATTTGAAGATCCAAGCTTCCAAGCCATATGTTGTTCTATGAACGACCTGATATGCTTGGCTAATGTATGGAATAACTTTTTTTATTACATGGCATCATTTGCACGTTGTAATCTAACTTTGTTATCTTTCAGGACATATATTCATACCCTATGGAATATTCCCGGGGAATTGACCAAGTCAACGCTGTTACTGCTATTAAACACGAAAAGGTTGTCTCGACGCAAGAAGCTATCGACCTCGTTGCAGACCACTACAAGAAACTCGTAAAACTTGTCGGTTCCTGTAAACGGAGCCTTCCTTCATTTGGTCCAGAGACCGATGACGCCATTCACACATATATACATGGGATAGAGCAGTGGTTTTACGGATACATAGTCTGGTGCTTTGACACGCCAAGGTACTTTGGGAAAGAGCATGAAGACATGAAGTGTACAATGACTGTGAAGGTGATGCAGCACAAGTTTTTGGATTGACTTGCACTCCAGAAAGTAAATAATGATAGAATTTGGTAGAATGGTTAGTTTGAGTTGTATAGAATCAACATATTGGCATTTTGATTTGGTATGTGTGAGTGGAAGTGTGGAGTAGTACTTATTCCAATCTACATGAGTGTTCTATGTTTCCTGTATTTTTCATAAAACCAGGGACACTATATAGAAGGATCTACATGCATTAATAGTGCTGGTGCATAGTTCTGCTTCTTTGAAAGATGTATCCTGATCTTGCTAAAAAAGTGTTTCTAAAGTAGCTTGAATGCCTCTCCAAGTGTAGATAACATATTGTGTTATTTGATGAGTATCTCAGAACTACTCATATGGTGTATATCAGATTGAAATATAATCCTCAACCGACCCACAAAATAGAGTATGACTGCTTAGTCAGCCATGCGAGCTTACATCAGCTCTTGGAGAAATACAGGCAAGGATAAAATACAACACAATCAAGAGTTATCTTACAAAGATCAACAAGGATATAAAGGTCGGTTGGCATATGAAATAACTATATCACAGAAACACGCCGCCAGTTAAATAAACAATATCTGAACTCTCCCTTTCTGAGTTGTCACCCCTTGTTGCAGCAGTGATATCCGTCTCAGAACGAGTAAGTGGCCTAGGAACGACATACAGGAAATACTGACCTGCAGCAGTGTAATTTTGCGCATGAATTTGGATCATAACAGCCAAAACAACACTGTTATTAGGAGCTAAAAGTCAACTGCGAGTCAAATGAATATGGCGCTTGAGTAGCCAAGGGCCACTGGCTCTGATTTGGCACATCAAAGGTCTGACTGAAAGCAGGCATTGAGGGATCCAGGGAAGTCGAAAGCATATCAATGTTATCCAGGTAGGTGTTAATAGGAGGTTGCGGCTGAGCAGGCGGAGGGATCTCGGGAGGGTCTTTTCGTTCGGTTTGTGAATTAGGTTCGTGGTGGATATTGGGATCGGAGGGGGCGTCAATATTGGCGGGGGAGTGCAAAGGAGGCTCCGCTCGTGTATCAGGGATAGGGCTGGGTTCAAGACGAATTGTGCCTGATCTAAACGGCCGCGTGGAAGGAATAAAAACGGGCGAATTTCGTGTTCCAGGCTGAGTGTGAGGTTTTGACTGTGAAGTACGGTCCACGGATTCAGCTATCGTAGGTAAAATTGATAATTTCTGACTCGTATCGGAAGTTTGTTTGCGAGAAGCATTCGATGGAGTGCGGGAGCGTGGTCGCGAATGTGAATGTGAGGAAGGTGAACCTAAGGTGTTTCCGTTCCTGTGCTGTGGAATTTCGCCTGATGGCGGCTCTGCAGAAGGACTTCCTCCACGAGGAGGATCCATGCCAGAAGATAGTTTTGCACGTTTGGAGCTAGGAGACTCCGGCTGTTGGCTAGGATTTGCATGTTTGCGAAGGCTAGATTTCTGAACCGTGGAAGAGCTAAACCGGTTGACTTTATTTAGTGTATCTGCAAGCATCTCCGCAAGACTTGGTGAGGGTCCAATGCGTATAGTATCTGAATCTGGGGAACGAGACGAATAGGCACTAAGAGCTCGGAAGCTGGCTGCTCCGGGTAATGGAGATGGGGTTCGTGTTGAAGGATGATCTTGTACTGGTTGGATAGGAACGGACGACTGTTGGACAATATTTATACTAAGGTCAAGCGCATCCGCGTCATGTCGAGGTGAGGCGGATAAAGCGACTTGAGATGGGAGCGAAGGATCGTGTCCATTCCTGGTTTTTTGTGCTCCTTCGCTACCATCACCTCCTTGCTCTACGGAATCGTGCCGAGCATAGGCATGGCTCGGACCGGCGACATTGGTCTCTTTGTCTAGAATCAAATGGTCCATCACAATATATCATGATTAGATTGGACTTCTGCACCTTCATCGACTAGAAAGGCATCTTCACGCATTAACAAAGATGTGCGTATACTCTCTTCTAACAAACACTTGAGCAAAATGCTTGGTAAGTGAGCCACATAACTCACCTCCAATGCTCGTACCGTCGTGAGCACGCATTTCAAGTCGCAAGTCTTCCCTTCTCACGGGCGTCTCGTTTGCGACGTGGTCATCGAGAACGTGTTTTGCGAGCATGTCTGCCGTACCGAATATATCTCTGCACCAATCCCATCTACACTCATGCAAAGAGCTGCTCGAGGCTCTTGATACAGACATTTTGAGCCCCTTTGTTATCCTCAACGCCGTGCCGAAGGGCGATCCAGAAGTATAACACAATACTAATCGCGGCTATCGGCGCGGGAGTCGTGGTGGTCGGAGTCCAAGATGGCACGCGCGTGCGTCTGACTGTGACTCTGACCTGGCGCCTCTGATTCACGCTCGATCCCTCACTGCCGAACAAACAGGAATGCCTTATTAGCGGTGTTGAAGGTGATGATATTTGTCTTTCTGTGATAATGTTGGGGAATTGTTTACTGACAGGATTATAGTTCCAGTCCATCTGATTTACTAAGCTCATCTATACAAAAATTATACCGCTGGGCACAATTCACGGAACTTATTTAGGTGTATATCTACTCAGCAAAGCTACTCTCCCTCTTTGTCCAAGGATATTTGCAGGACGGACCGATGGCTAGTCCAAATAGACCGCCATCGAGGCCTTCATCAAGGACGCCAGCAATACCCATACCGGGAGCAGCTCCTCGTAGCATAGAAGACATCCTTAACATCAATACACTTGGTTCTCCACCCGCAGCGCCGAGTCGATCTCACGATCCTCGTCCAGAGCAGAGACAATCTCGCATGACGGCTCGGTCGCTCTATAGTGGCATCGAGGCGAGCAGGCCCACGTCTGGGATGCGCCACGCGAGTACGAGTAGTAGCGTTGGCACAAGTCGACATTCACTCTTGGGAGGAAGTGGACCTCCGTGGGGTTCACGTACGGTGTCTGCTTCGGCCGCGCCAGTTTACCTTCCAGGTAATTTCGGAATGCAGAGTGCTATTTCGACATTTGAGCCGCGGGTCATCGGAGGCTCTGGAGCGACGTCATCGGATAGAAGTAGTACGTCTTCAAGACAGGACTTGCATACATCCACATCGCCATCGAGGAGATTAGCAAGGATGAGTACGGGCGGGCGTCCAGTGCCAGTTCCTCGTAGTGGCCCTTTTAGCTCCCATCGTGCCCCGTCATTAACCTCGTCAACCGTAATTCCACATACACACCACCATCTAGGAAACGGAGCGCCGACGGCATTCAAGAGGCCATCATATCTTCAATACTCTTCACTTCGTGACTTTTTGCAAACAGACATGGATTCTTCGTCCCCTCCACGGCCTATCCCGCCCGCAGTGTCAGGAAGAGATGTAACTCCCTTGACAGAGAGCGATGAAGACAGTGAATCTAGCGGTAGTTACACGGGTGCCTGGCCTAATTCCCGTCGTGGACGAGGCAGAGCTCGAGAGCGCCGGAGTGCATACTATCCTTCTGTGACTCCTGCAAATTCGGATTCCATAATCCACCTTCCGACACGATGGAATGACCAAGACAAGAACAAATATCTTCACATTTCCGAGGATGGTCGCAATTTATCGTTCCACGGTACGTATACAAGACTTTGGTGGCAAGAAACCTTTTTAATGACATCTCAAAAGGCCCTACTCAACAAGGGGAGAAAGAGGCGGCAGCCGCTCGTGCTAATCACCCTATTCCACCTGCGTGCGGAATTTATTATTACGAAGTCACAATACTTGATAAGGGGTATAAGGGGTATGTCTTCCTAATTCATCCAATCAAATACTCTGAATAACGAGGTACTATCTAGACACATTAGCGTTGGGTGCGGCCGCTTTCAATGTATATTTTTCCTATTTCAACTATTCTAACACGCCATGCAGTTTTAGTTGTTCGGGCGTGCGACTTAACCGTTTGCCTGGGTGGGAGAGAAATTCATGGGGATATCATGGTGATGATGGCAATTCATTCGCGTCTGAAAGGGACGGCACTCCCTTTGGCCCTAAATTTACTAGTAGGTTCAGCTCTTTACGTTTTGACTCCATCATTGACACATGCGTTTCAGCTGGAGATGTTGTCGGTTGTGGAATAGATTTCAGTCTGGGAAAAGCGTTTTATACCAAAAACTCGAGCTTGCTCGGTTTGTATATTTTCCTGTCTCTTGACGTTGATGAATTCTGATATCACCTATGAGTAGGTTATGCATTCGAAAACATCGGACGAGGCGAGGCGATCTATCCTTCAGTCGGTTTGAGAACACCCCAAGAGCAGATTCGCGTGAACTTTGGCCAGGAACCATTCAAATACGACATAGACTACCATGTACACTTGGCGCGAGATAGGGCATGGTCGAGGATTCAAGCAACCCCAGTAAAGTGGACAATCGATTGGTCACGAGATATCTTTGACATTGAAGAGGATAAGGCGGCGCGTAAGGACTCGTCGGCTGAGGTGAAGCAGGAGCCTACAGATGACGATTTTACCCCGATTTCCCTAGCCAAAGATTATTCTGAACCCATCGATAAGCTTATTTTGTCATATCTTCATCACCATGGGTATGAGAACACAGCGTCAGCGCTGAAGACGCAGATAGATGGACGAAGAAAGAAAGCTGCTATGGCCGGAAAACTCGCAGTGTCCAAAAAGGAGGAGATGGATGTTGACATTAAAATGGAGGCAGACGATAACCTACCCGTGCAGGCTACCAGTGGTCGGTTTGAACTCAATGGTCTAGGCCGGGATAGCGACTCTGGATCGGACGTGATGCGGTACCGACAACGTATCGTCGGTGCTGTCTTCACAGGTGATATTGATCTTGCTCTGCAACTCATCCAAGAAGTATGTCCAAGTGTGCTAGAGACAGACGAAGGGTTTCTTCATTTGAAGTTGAAATGTCGCAAGTTCGTCGAACTCATATTGCGCGCGAGCGATGCGTTACAGGCCATAAAGAATGCTGAAGCTGAGACTACACCCATCCTGGCAGAATCTGCAGGGTCGATGGGAGAAGCAGACATGGACGTCGACGAAGAGAACGACCAATCACAGACGAATGGCTTCTCGGACGGTAGTGCACCCGTGACAAAACCTGTACCTCTTAGTCCGCGTATGAAGCGCACCTCGAGTCGTTCGGTCCCGCCACCTGTCGTCGCTGCCTACCAATCTGCCCTGAGTGAAGCGCTGTCCTACGGAAAGGCTCTACACGCAGAAATGCCCCGAGCCGATTCCATGTCAGGTGTGGGAGCGCGTCCAGAGGCGCATGCCCTGTTGAAGACAACGTTCAGCCTTGTAACCTACGATGATCCGCGCGTCGCGGGAGGGGAGGTGCAAGCGCTGACGAGCCGCGAGGCGCGAGCGAAGCTTGCAGGGGATGTGAACCAAGCGATCCTAGGTGCGTGTTTGTGGAGCCCTACATAAATATACAGTGACTGATTGCTCGACTTTATGTATTTGGGATACAGAATCACAAGGACGGCCGAGTCGACCGGCGTTAGAGAGGATGTATCGACAGACGAGTGTCGTTCTCGATGACCTTGCTCGAACAGGAGTGGGAGATGCGGCGTTTGCGGATATGTACAGTGAGTTTTTGGACACGTAGGCACGGTTCAAGTGGGTACGAGAACTGTGGTATCAGATATTTGACTTTCTATTGTTGAAGTCGCTTTCTGGGACATTACATTTGGTCTGCTGTGTTGTTGTTGTCTGTTGCTTGTCTGAAGGGATTGTTGCTCGCTCCTTCCAAGTTGCATCTTCTGTTTCTTTCTTTCACTGATGTAATGCATAGCAATTGGATGTGCATATCTGTTGTTCGCATATTAGCTCTGTTGCTTACTATACTACAATCTTACCCAACTTTCGAGATAAAGTGGATGCCAAGTCCGAAAACTGAACATCCCATGTGTAACATCATGAACAATTATTAATGCCTTGCACCTATGATACATTTTTTCTTGTATCCATCGTGGATCTTACGCCCCGTTGTGATGCTAATATATAACAAGGGGGAAGGCACTTTCTAATTATGAAATCAAGAGAGTAAGTATTCAAACTCCGTCGATGTGGTAAATCTGTTTTCGCACCTTCTGTCTATCCGGAATGTAGGTAGCCAACTTCGATGGTGTTGGCACGCATGAACCATGCCCACCTCGACATTTCTTGGTCTTCAGCATATATTACCTGGGAGGGTAACCACGCAACGCTTTTTGACCTGTGATAGTATGCTTGGCTTCGACCGTTAATACTCTCCAATTATGTAAACGCTGAAACAGGATTATTCACAAACTCCGTCAATGTAATTTCGAATCTTCCATCGATCCGCTGGACAGGCATCCGACTATGATAACTTCCGCGCCGATAAATCATACATGCTTTGAGATTTCTTGGTCCTTGGCTTGGAGTCTGGACTAGTGTAACCACGCGATAAGTTTCATCCTGCAATAGTGTGTATGGCTTCTGCAACGCTCTCACACGTAAATAAACTTGCATAGGGAAGTAAGGATAACAGGTGCGTTCGTCACGCATTTGAGGCTTCTTCTGTGATTTCATGGCACTGACGACTATCGGACAAGAACGGCACTATAATGAGACAATAACATGACAACTGCTCGGACACGCTCCGCTTCATTACAACTTGAAACATCCGGTGTGAGTGCTACAGGCAAATATCAAAGGTAACGAGATATTTGACTATGTTCTGTCAACAATGCATCTCCTATCGTGATTGAAATGTGAACAAGATTGTAACCGCAGTAGCTGAGCCTGTTGAAATACGGTACAGGCATTCACCGGTCCTTTAAACACAACCTTTTGAACCCTCCGCATAATTTTTTATACAAAATTTTTCTTGTTTTTTTCTATTATATACATTCTAGACTATGATTAGTATGCTATGTAAAAATTGTACAGGCATAGAGTGCCCCAAAAAATTAATAGAGAGGCAAGAAAAAATGAGGGAAATGTCACAAAAAGCGCTCCTTTGAACAGACTGTGACTCTTGTCACGCTGGCACGCTCCAACTATCCTACCAACTCCTCCTGGGCCCCTGTCTCTCTCTGTACAAAATTTCCTCCTCTTAAAAGCTGCTAGCTTATTTCTATTCACTCCTGTGACTCTTAGAACTCTTGGATCCATCTTGCATCACACCTACACAGGTCTAGGTTGCATTCACCACATCCAGACACTACTTCTGTGCATACAGCCGTCTCGTTCTCCTGTGCTTCAAGGACTTGTTTCCGGACTTCCTGCTTTGTCAAACAAGTTGGTCTAGGATCCCAATATACTTTAGGGAGGCCTTCTTCTTCCCACTGAGCACATCTTGCCAGCCAATTCTGTGTTTCTGCTTGATGGTGTGTCCTAACCCTTTCCCATTCCTTCTCAATAATTTCATTAATGTCTTTCTTCTTCCTAGCTTTGTCTTTTCGTGCCTGGGCCTGCATTTCTTCCTTCTCCTTTGCATCCCTACACTGTCTGAGCTGTTCATAGGCCTGCTGGGATGTAAAGATCTTAGGCATTCTACTATTGAAGATACATACATTTTCCACTCCTTTTCCCTTCTCCTTCTCATTCAGTACTCCTTGTAGCTTTGCATTATACATGGTAGCAAGTACAAGCTGGGCCTGAGCACCCTCAGCAATACTCTGGTTGATTTGTATGTGCTGATGTGCCTGGATCAGGTTCTTAGTAAGTTCAGCAATGTCTTTGCCTGAACAAGTGCTTACTGATAGCCTTTCCAAGCATCCTTCTACTTCCTTCCAATTAGGAGTCCCAAGAGTGTCTGGGACTCTCTCTAGTATGGGTGGAGGCAGATTGTGCTTTGTAGTAACATACTCTTTTGAGACTAGGAAACTTGCTGATTTTGACACTGTTAGAGACAAAGACATTAACCATATATACTTTGAGAGTGTAAAGAGTAATGGATTGATGGATGGATTAATAACAGGAGTAGTAGACTGGTACATAATAATACCACTGTCATGAGAACTGGTCTGCTTACTCAGTAATGTGTATGTGTGGCTAGGTGCTAGAATATGTGTTAAGAAAGGGGGAAGAGAGGTTATGTGAGAGGCTTAGAGGGATCACACAAAGAGGGGGGATAGTAGACTCAGCTTGCTCTCTCACAGCTTGCTTCATTG